CCACAGTAACATTACTGTAGAAATATTCACTGGCATACATAATTCCATTTCAGGTACTTCAGAATGTTGAAGTAGCTTACGATTTAAGCCATAAAATTAATCATATCAAAATTCTACTTCTTTCGAGTTCAAAATCATGTCTACATAACTTTTCCGACGTCGTCTGCTACATGCCTACGTTAGCAAATCATGTTAAACTGGGTTAATTTCTTTATATTCACTTTATTAAGCAGTGGTAGAATGATAATGACAATAGATTACCGAAGAACTGGAAAAAAAACCTGTCCCAGTGCCACTTTGTCCACCACAAATCCCGCATGGTCTGCCCTGGATGCGAAGTCGGGCCTCAGCGGTGAAACGCCGGCCATTATACGGCCTATTCGGTTAATTTACGAAGTTCTCTCGCCTTCTGAGGTTATACAGCGTCAAATGGCATGTGGTAATATGAACAATGAATCAGAACAGATGTAGGATGAGGCTGTCTTATGCTGCTGAAGATAAGCTGATATCACACTATTAGCCTGGAAGGACTGATACCGATGACCGACCGAGATTCGAGCTGGGTACCTGGCGAATTCGAGTAAGAAGCTAAACCTCGTCAACCTAAGTTAACATGACCCGATTATTATACGTTGTTTGCACTAAGTGCATAGTATAATGCCATTATGGACATACAGTATCTGTTAATCTGTCGGCATGGTTCACCTTCTATTTAGACAATGTTTTTGGGTATTACACTAAAAGCTGTGTGGGTAATTTAACTTTTATGTGTCCTTCACGCTCTAGCGCGTCCATGTCGCGTTTTTCGCAACAACGGGATTCACGGTTTCCTATTGTTTCACGACAATGGTACACAGACTGGCATCAGTGCAAGAATGACCCAAGACTCATTAGTGACCTCTGAAAGCGTTAGTGCGAAAATGAACTAAGTGACGCGGCGTGAAAAAATCTGGAATGTTAGTGTACTCCACAGAGTACACTTTTCAAAACTTGTTTGTTCCTACTTCGTGTAAAACAGAACTCTTAGCTTTATTTTCTCAATGGATGGCTCGTTATACATAAACATAGGATTACGCAATATAAAATTGATATCTTGTCAACATATACGACTATTAACTGAAATATTTTGTATACACTCAATGTTTAATGAAATATAAAAACAACAATTTCTGACCTGTGCAGTTTTATACCTATAGCCATTGATTTCTACCTCTACTTTAGAAAAGGCCTTCATAAAGGTCAAATAAAACGACTGGAATTGAATTACGTTAATTTATTGGGCAAAAATATAAATATGTACGTAATATAAATACGCACTCAGATGGAAAACAAAGGTGGTCTGTCGGAGGCCAGTAAAGGAGGTTAGATTGCAAGGAAATAACAAACGTACCCTCACCCAAACAGGTTCGTTTGGTACGAGTATTAACATTTTGCTCAATTCGGTTTGTTTCATAATAAAATTGTGGGCAGACAATTTCAGAAACTAAGAATGTAAGCTGAGAACTTCTCTTAAATAACAAGACTAGAATCAAAACTCTATTTTCTAAATACTTTTCGTAGTGAAACTGTGCATAAAAATTGAATCTGTTGCATGTCTCCATTAAGGAAACCTATCGTAACATCCTGGGAAAGCGTATTCCGTACCAGAAATCTTGCAAAGAACGAAAAATAATTGAATGCTAATAAGAAATAGATCGGTTAAAACATCAAACACTTTTCTTCTTTAGAAGCTTGACAAAGGTAGAGCTAAACTGTTAGGCGATGAAATTTTAAGTAAATTCACATGTGTAATATAAGAAAAGTAACATATGATTCGATCTTGAAAGGAAAGTTTAAGCGCATTCAGAAACGTTCTGTGTAACATGAGGATCTCCCAACACATCTAGATGCATCCTTTATGAGACAGGCCCCATCTTTCATGAGAGTAAAAGAAGAGAATTTTTCTATGAGCATTCTACCCACTAACTTTGTCCTCCCCAGTGCATAAAACGGTTTCGCAAAGGACCTCAACCGGTGTTCCATTCTATGAATCCCCAACGCAATGAGTTCCTCCATTAAAATAAAGCGAAGTCCTCATTTCACTTGCAAAGTAAAACGTTACATGTATATGGATTGAAGAATGATACTGACGCAAGTCGATTCCACGAACTGGGGACTTTCGAGGAACCTCACCAAGAGCCAAACAAAAAGCGATGAGACATAAAACTGACCCCAGTCTCTTCTGAGAGGTTGTTGATCCCTTACTATTCAGGATATTCTATATGCGACAACTGGATTCATGTTAAGTCAATAATTGCAAATGTAATGACGGCAAGAAACATCACGTTAAACTTGTCTGATATAACCTCTAAGAGAATCTGTAATTTGCAACTTTATCCCGAAAAATAAAGCAATTATGAAAATGCTAATGATTTTAAATAAGAACGGCTTTTAAATAACTTCAATCTATGTCCGTACCTCACATCGGAGTCATCTAATTTTATCTTAAAGTATTTCATGAATGCGTTTCGTTTTACGATCTTCCTTATAAGAACATTAAGGCGTAGAGAAGACACACAACTAGCGCCCCCACGACAGCCACCTACTACTAATGTAATCAATAAGACGTCACTTTATTACACCCACATTCAAAATTTATAACACTCTACAATAAGAAATAAAGTGGCTATGGTTTTAATGATGATCACTATGAAAATAAAACTAATGAAAACCTTCAAGAAAAGTCTTTCCTCTGTAGGAAAGCAGGTTGGATTATCATACCAGCTTCTAAACTACCTTCTACAAGACCAAAATAGCTTCCAGAGAGTGCATACAAACGTTTTCGCCAGTTTTGCTTCCAAAGTGCTGACCAACTGATTAGTGATACGGAGGGACGGGGGCGTATAGGTTAATGTTCATGTCTTGTAACTAGAATGCAGGACAAGATCTATTAACAACAGCAAATAAATCATTTACAAATTTGGCAAAGTTCAAGTACGGTAACTGAACAACGCTAATAAATAAAATCATTTTCATGATAAAATTAGAGCAGACTAAATTTGGCAAATGCATGATACCATCAGTTCAGAATATTTACCTTCCCGTGTAGTATCTTCAATATTAAAACATACAATAATACTGCCGTTTTATACGTTAAAGAAACTAGATACCTTACTCTAAGGAATATATATTGTGTTTAGAATTTCTGGCCTACCTATTCCCTTAAGTGAATGTCTAAGACTATACGACAGAAAATAGGAGCAGCTGAATAAAACACGCAACCTTCCCTTCAATTTTCCATCCTATGCCCTATGATCCATGCTTTCACCTGTTGAAATACCGCTGATATGATCTGAATGAGCAGTCTCCACATTTGTCTTTTTTCAATGGAGTAAGATTATGTCTCTGCAGAACTGAGCCCGCTACTGGTCTACTTTTCATCCCCCAGATTATACGATGTCTGAAGCAAAAATAACGAGACTGGTGTTGTAACTCTTTTCAACTGTGATCGCCCTAGAAATAGTTCCCATCGGAGCTGACACACAGCTGCTTAAGATGTTGCCACTGTTGAAAGCAGAGCTGTAGATCATTTTCTGTAAGGCTCGTATATTCTCCTTCTCCACCACAAATCCCACATAGACTACAGTAGGAATGAACCCAGGCCTCCGCGGTAAGATGCCGGTGACTAACTGCATGAGCTATGCCACGGCACAGTCTTCATATTATACAAAGTTTTTACAAAACGGCAATCATTAAACACGAAACCTTTACGCAGCCCGTTGTCATATTTAAAGAAAATAATTTTAATGCAGTGCCTCTTGTTTCAACAAATGAGGCACTGGGAACAGAGACACGTAAGTCTGTTCTTGGCAAAATGCTAGTACCTAACCTTGTTTGAAAAACACGGGGCCGCCTCATCATTTCACCAGAATGGTTCAGTCTCCTGCACTTCACTCAGAGTATCTGCTGGTGTATGTATCATTCCGCTTAAAACATCCAAAGATATTTAAGTATTGATGGCTTCGCTTTGGACTGTGATTCATACTACGAATTCTTCGTTTCAAGCTCGTAATGACACTCACGGAGTAATAAAAAATATTGCTCCAGACTGAACTCGCTCCCCTAAATCTCAAGTGTCGATACTGCAGAACTGTATACAATAAACACAAATTTGTCAATATGTTTCGCAATTGTTATGTTTTACCAGGTATGTGCCTTTTTAAAGCACTTTTTCAAAATTCTATTTAAACCAGGAAACATTTTGAAATTAGAAAAATACTTGTAAATAACGTTCAGAATATCGCACTATATTTTTTCGCCTTTCATATATTTATGCCGCATTCCGTCGAAAAACATATATTATGAAAATCGTTACATCTTCCAGTACAAGGAATCGATCTACACTGGTTTAAAAATCTCAGTACCGGTCTGCGATTACAGAAATTTGTAAAAAAAACTGCATTACACTACAGCACGCCTCAAAGACGCCAGATTAAATTTAAGTCTTAAGGTGATCTTTTCGCAGCCTTTAAGTTTCAGTTTTCGGAAATTACAGTCGCCAGGAAATATAAATCGATAACAAAAATTAATTTCAACGAGTTTTCCCCAGAATTCCCTTTAATTCTGGGTACCTGTATCCTTCAGGGGGGGTCCCCAGTGGCCGCGCGGTCTGAGGTGTGGGCCTTGTGCCGCTTGGTCGCTGGGACCGTGGTTTCGAATCCCACTCAAGCCATGGATGTCTGTCCGCGTTTTTCTGTGTTGTGCTGTCCTCTGTACAGGTAAAGGCCTTGCGACGGGCGGATCCCTCGTCCAAGGATGCCTACCGAATGTCTATAGGTAAAGCCAACCAAAAGTTGGGACCCGCAGTGCTTAGGCACTTGAAGAACGGGTTGTTCCCAGTATCCCAGTATCCTTCAGAGGCCAACATTTTAAACTCAGTGCACCCCAAAGGCCTTTAAAGAATCTCAAATTACACATTAACTCCAAGTTACAGCAGTTATGTGTACTTATGTCGTTCTCACCTGCAGCAGCAGAGAGCCGTCCGAGACGACGATGCGGATGCAGAAATTGTAGCCCACATCCCAGCGGGCCACCACATACACCTCCTCCATGAATGAATACGGGACTGACGTGTACATGAAGCCGGTGGGCTGAAACAAGAGTCCCTTGTCAAGATTAATTCTGTATCAGCTGACTTAAAGTCCGAGGGAAGGTCTGTCAATCCAATCCCAGACGTATTTTTTGCGTTTTCATGCTGGCCTTAATTTTATATCAAAACCAAGCACTGTATACAAAATGTTCCGAAAAATATGTATAAGCACAATATTAATATTCCGTATTATAATGTGTGTACATCTTTTTGGGGGGCATTCTGTATTCAATATACATCACAGAAAGGAGTGTCAACCATCGCTTAACATCACCATTACCACACTGACATAGGTAAAGTTGTCTCTGGTTTTAACTAAGCACCACACCATGCAGACGTATGAGGAAATTGAGGAATAGCGTCACACATTTGTATCTTTCTTCCGGGGTTAAGCGGTTGGAACGTGAAATTGACTATTCACACCATCGAGTGCCGAAGTTAATAATACGTGGAGCTGCATCTGCACTACCCCATACACTGACATAGGCCATTGTGAAATCATTAGCTCAACAGTTATTAAATCTGTATGCCAAGATCATTGAATCGAATCCTGCATAAGGCTGCTTACATGTTTCCAGGAAATACCTGAAAGTACGTCACAGCTGCCACCTACAGAATTCTTTGTAGTTTAAACATCGGTTTGTCTTGAAATCATTACCCACACTCGTAAGCTCGGTGACCTCATCAAACAAGAGAACTCGAAAAATACAAAGTACACATGTATACATCGCTAATACTCTCACGTCATTTCTTACAAACAGATAGTGTTACGAGGTGGAACGGCATTTACCTAAGCCATCATGTTATATAAATAAAAGGAGGATATCGTAATCGCGATTACTTATTTAACGACGACCCCAAAATGAACGCGCAGTGAAAGGTTTTCTCACTGAATCACATTTTCCATCATCAATGCTTGTCAAATGCTAAGCGGGAATAATTTTTTAAACCTTCTACGTCGCTTCGCATCCATTCCTCTCGCCAGAAGAGTTAACCTACTCTGTTGGGTCGATTGGATGCAGCTAATCACTGCCACCAGGAATATATAATCTAAGCTATTGAAAGCGTCGTTAAATAAACCATGTGTATATTTTTAAAAGCAGTCATGCATTTCAAGTTCATTCACCAGTTTGAGAAACCGAGTTTACACGACAGAATTTAAATTTTACGTTATGTAAAGTAATTATCTCTCTTGCGTCAGTCTTCTGTTTTTCAGACAGACGTCTTTCAATTATCCTAACAAGTCTAATTGTCACTCTATTACCATAGCTACTTCAAGTCTCCATCTAGGAAGCCTTACGAAAAGCTGGCAATCCAGTTTCTTCATATATACGCCAAAAACAATCAGTTTCAATCAATTAATCGTCCTCTGGGCCATTTGCAATGATAATAAAGAAAACGCACAGATTACTTCGTTAACGTCTAAACTAATAATTATCTGTAATTTACATATAACACTTTCTTGCTAAAAGTCTAGACGTATTAAATGTTCTATTACAGAAAAGTTTCTTCTGCATTGTTACTTTTTAAAATATTATCACAAGTTCATAACATACAAAATGGTTATAGTCCAGTATCCCCATCGAACACACTAAATGAACATACTTCGAGACCTTGACAATCTACCCGTTTTTGTCAAAACGAACTAAAATATGGCTCTTGTATAAAACAATCAACAATCTGCGCATAAAATTTTAATTTAATTTTAGGTCCCAAGTTTTCTTTCTCCTCACTGAAATAATTAACAATAAACGATTTAAACTCTCGAGTCGCTTTGCTATTCCACGATAACAATAGAAAAACAAGTGAATTAGCAGAATTAATTCAAGAGATGTTTTCAACGTTAAGAGCATACAGGAGACGGAATTATTAGTTTGTGTCTAAAATCTTCCTCCGTTACTCTTTTAATATCTGTTGTGTTTTTCCTTTGTTCTTCCTAAAGATCGCATTCTTCATGTTTGTGTCCTGAGAAAGAAAAACAGTTCGCTAAAAAAGGAGAACGTCGAAACAAACTCGGGGCAATTCAAAACAGGAACTATAACAGAGTTGCAGAAAGCGCTGGTAAAAATCAACTGCTATGGAGAACCATTTTTCATAACAGCATCCGGAATGTTTCCTCAGCGTAACAGTTTCGATGAGGTCTCTCGTGTTTCTTAGTTTTACTTTTTTAGATGTTATGAAGGCAACGGACCACTGCATTCGCTAAAAATAAGATTCTCGGGAATATACGCGTCTCCACAAATCCTCATGAAGTCAGATTTGGTTTTACAAAAAGAAATGTCAAGTGCCTGTAATTTATTATGTTTAAAAGATAAGTTATGCAGGCTATAAACGCAGTAACATTTCAGAATCAGCCCAACTGCGCCGTTTTATTTACAACAGTGCGTTCACTGATTAAGCACTTGCCGGCTTCCAAAGAATTTATATAAAAAAGCAAAACTTTATTGTTTTTATAGAGTGACAGTTGACTCGTATCAGGAAATCCTCGTAGCGCTTGGCAGACAGTTCCAGCCGCGAGATGTAAAGTGACAGTTGCGTTCAACTTTATCAGTGAACGCTCTGTACTTCTGGCATCTAAATAATACCACTGTTCTCGTGAAACGATGAAGTGAACTACTTGAGCTATAGAATTCCACGATTACAATTCACTCCGCCTCCCCCGCATCATCGTCACCCGCACATCATCAGTACTCCACCCGCGAATCAAACGCAGTGATTGTACAAAAGTAAAGCACTAAAGCAAATGGGATCTTAGGCACTGTTTCTTACGTAGTGACAAACGCATAAGAGGGGGCAATGGATGAAAGAACCCGGATACTTTTTATAAGAACTAACGCCAGACGAACGCAATACAAACAACATAATGGTAAAAGTTCTTGAATAGATATCGGACAGCTGGTCCTGCAGTACGTGTAGAATAAATGCTAGAAATATAATGCACCATTGTTCTCATGCAAATGACAACTGAAAGCGCCGATGTTGTAGTGTGACAACTAAATAATGCCCTACACTGCCTGCACTTCCCAGTGAACTACGTGCCTTAAAGGAAAGTGGACTATTATTTTTATAGTATACATTAAATTTATTTGTCGTCACGAAACGACAGAATCGGCATCATTTGAATACATCTAAAGTCACTCAGTCAATAAATAAATGACAGCAGCAAGTTTTATCTAATCCGTATACTTGTCCTTGCTATACGCGCGTACTCGTGTTACAAACAAAATACTATCGGATACAAGTTTAAGTCGTCGTATCAACTGAATATTGTCGGGTGAATATATGGATTTATGTCTCAGTAATGAAATGCAGACAATGAGTTTGAGAATGTTCTAAGAAGCGCATTTTAGCGTACTGTATTTTCTTTGGGGTACGGACTGAATCTTAAAACATTATTTACATAACTTTTGGCTTCAAAGGGTTATAAACATTTCAGACTATATCCGATTGCCAGATTTATCGACCTCCTAATAACGGCAATGCTGAAATTTTAGAACGCAAAATACAGACGTATGTTAAATTCAAAAATAAAACTGAAAACTGGAAATATCTGTGATTCATTATCAATAATCTCGCTGGAAAAATAATTTGTCTTGTTAAAGAGAAAAAATTATTTTAATCTTTGGAGAAGCATCCCCCCACCGGATAAGATCCTGTTTAGGCACTTAAATTGTTAAATCAGTGTATTAATTTTGAAACTCTCTTCCGAAATAATAATGAAGGCTCGTTCCGGTTTGGTTTATGAAACGCGACTGCAAAGCAGGGTAGTCATCGATTAATATTCTGTGCGACGGAGTTCACCGAGTTGTTACACGTGCACCGTAACCGCAAAGGTGAAAGTCCACTTTCGACTGCAGTACTAAGCACAGCAAGCGATGAGCGTGTTATACTTACTACCTCCTGTCCCCTCCAGCCCCTCTGCAAGAAGTCAATTTAAATAACGCAGACAGTACGCAGAGTGGATGGTATGGAACTGAAAAGAGACGTTCGTAACAATTCCGAGTGGGTTTAACTCTCATAATAAGGAATAAAAGAAGTGATCCCCAAAATACCATCTTTCTCCAAAGCTTAACGTTCTATCAGCAGCGCTGAAAGTCCCATTCTGATAGAATTTCGAAACAATGCTTTCTAATTGTGTAGAGAACCATCAGATTATGCACAATGTATAAGAAAGGGCACAGAAAGTTTCGAGATATAATCATATGAAACCGACGCGCCGTCATCTGCAGAATACAAAACTTAAAATTCCACAGACCTAACTTTTAATTAAGTTCTGGTCTTGAGCTGTTATAGTACAATGTTATCCCCCTTGATTTGAATTCTGTATTGTACAGGTTTATTGGCACTTTACAGACTTACATGTATGATCTTACGACAGAACATAAAATGTGCATACAAACAATACACTACACGGTATGCAAGGTTTTAAGATTATGACAGAACAATTTTCATGCTTGAATACGCAGCATAATGCTTGAACAGGTCTCAAAATTGTTCTTCCATTATCTCATTGGCCTTCTTCCATCTCTCCACCTGTCTTCTTATCTCGTCCTACTTACGCAATATTTTTACTTTAAAAACGGTAGACGAATATCCAAGAATTCTCCCCCACTAAATATCACTTCATAGCAATCATGTATTCGAGAGTATTTCTCAATTTTAACTTTTCTTCTTGATGTTAAAATTATTAAGCAAGACAGAGGTTAAAGCTACGGGAACGTGAAGCTGGCTACTTAACTCTATCTAGTGTCAGGATTAAAAATATCTGCAGTGTACTTCTTCATGACATGACATGACATGACATGCTGCTTAATTGCGTTCATAAACGTGCCTGTATCATACTGATACGCAGAAGAAGTTCGATATCAGAATTTTCGCATGAGCGGTATTTTCCATTTCTCATCCACCATTATAAAGTGTGAAGTGGAAAGCCTACAGCATCGGGTTTCTCAGACTTTGACCATTTTTTAAGTTTTAAATGAAAGCACAACCTTTCGGTAG